ATATTTGAGCGAATATGTGGCTCAATGCGCCGACGTCTAGATGCATACGTAATGTCTGATGATAGACATATTGAACATTTACTATGATTGTGTGTTTTGTTAATAATAAATTAGTTTTGTTCATTACCCGTTAATCGTTTAATGCAGGGACTAACTACAAAATAACAATAAATCCAGTTCGCATTTATGACGATGTATCTCTGTAGTTGTTCGTAAAATAATTTTTTGCAGCGAACTGGTTCATTTTGGGCAAAAAACCCAAGAGAAATTTTTTGTTTAGAATGAAACAGGCTATCGGAAATTAATTTTTAAATGGTAAACAAATAATAAGACAAAAAGTTACTACCCTTACGACCATGGGGAAAACCAAATAGATTACTGGCTAAGTGTCTTTTTGGTAGTACAAAACGTCAGGTTAATTTCAATATTGTATTTTTTTCAGTGCTTGTGAAAAAAATTGTTATACAAATTTCATGTACCCCCTTTAAGGGGCTGTATCTCAACAAGGGATGCTCCAATGAAGTTTCTTTATATGAAAGATTCTATCTGTTTTTCGATGAGGAATCACCCCCTTGAATGTTTCACACTCATTCAGTTACACCCTGTATATACAGTTGGCAATACAACTGAAAGAGAAGACCTTCTATTTTGGAACGGGCACACATGCAGACCGGTTACGGGCTCCTCAGCCACTCGTCAATGCAAGATATTGGCCATCATCGACCTAAAGTCAATGATACTCTACAAATAAAAATCGAAATGTTTTCATAGGCGTAAGGCGTCAGTCCATTCAACCTACTGTGTAGGTATATCCGAGACAGGCTTGTACAGTTAAAGTTCATTTCTTTAGAGATGTTTACTGCCTGTTTTCAGGCATAGCCCACTGACTAATAAGTGAATGAGAAGTATTTTGAGTTCAGGCGAGGTTTCCTACGTTGTGCTATCTTAGCGAAAATTTTCTATAACTTCAATATTGTGACAATTTTCAATCGGATCAGTTAGCCAATAGGCATTAGAAGTAGACGTTTGTCAAATTCTCAGCAAAGTTGGTGAAAATCGACGGCAAATCGAGACTGAGGAGTGACATTTTTTGTAGGATGCACCACCTAATAGCAGTCACAAATTCATATACCAGTTATTCAGGACTCCAAAGAGGGATATAACGATTTCCAGCTTTCGACCAAATTTCAGGGGCTAGAGCACTAATTTGCCTGGACTATATTGAAAATGTTTTAATAAAAAACAGGCCGTATAGCATTGAAGGAGTTACGACCCTCCAGAGATTCTCTCTACATTTCGCATCGCTAACACTCAGATACATCACGTGGCACGAACGGCTGAACCATGACTGGGACTAACTTTCTGGTAAATGGCATTAGTTTGACTCGCACACAGACCACACCGAACGACATCCTGAACTTGTGATTACCTTGACTACCAACTTAGAGAACGGAAGTTAGTTATTATTGTTTCAATAGCAAGAAAACCAGCTGAAAAATTTTGAGGCAACTTTTCCCAATATAGAATTTTACGTGAAATATGAGAAATGAAACTCTATGCTTTTTTACCACTTGCATTTGTAAATAACGTTAGTGTCGTTTCATTTTCAAACGAATACAATAAACTTAAATGATTAACAATGTATATGACAATATATTTATGTTTACTTGAACTGTACATGTATATACCTAATGATCTTATGATGCACTGTTTGGAACTTTCGGTGAAGTAATGAATATTACTGAAGTTTTTCCCCAACACCGAATCGTTATTTTTAACACCTCGACACGTGTTTCGATCACCGAGTGATCATCTTCAAAGAGGAAGATTAAAACTAGAAACTAATGCGAGCTAACCCTATTAATGCTATATAGGTATCCCATACAGGTAAACCATCCAGGCGTATCACCCATACAGGTATACCAACCTAAATTAATTTTGCCTTATCTATTATTTTACAATAAATGTTTATATAAAACAATTTTCAGCTATATAAAAATTAATTCCACAATATTGCCTATCCAAATTTTGTAAGTATTTTGTCGCATTTTTTGAAAGAAAAAATCCACAAACCGGAAAAATCAATGCGCCCCATCGTGTCAGCTATTGGAGCTCCTATCTACCAAATAGCAAAGTGGCTCACTAAGGAATCTAAAACCTTGCCTATTGCGGAACCAAGTTTTAGTATAAAAAACTCTTTAGAGTTCATACAACATACAAGAAACGTGGTTCTGTCAGAAGGTGAGATTTTGGTTTTTTCTGATGTTAGTTCCTTATGTTCCTTATTTCCTAGCGTCCCAATTCCATAGACCTTGCAATACCCCAGGGAATTACTAGAGGAAAATAGTTTCAATAATAACGAAATCGATGAATTCGTTTCTCTCACGAATTTGTGTATGAAAAAAAAATCGGTTCCAGATAGCAGCCACTAACGGTTTCTCGAGGGGTATTGTAGATGACATAATAAGGAAAAAGAAGTTTAGGTTAAGAATGAATGAAATCTCGACTTCCAGAAAGGACAAAAACCAAGATAAATACATCTCAGTTCCATACTACCAATATACGATGAACTTTGGAAACATTTCCAAGGAACTAGGTATGAAGGTGGTTTTCAAAACAAGTCATACACTACAGAGCCTTTTGGGAATTCCAAAAGACAAAGTCGAGAATTCGGAAAAGTCTGGAATTTACGAAATTGAATGTAAGGATTGCGATGCCAAATATTATGGACAGACAAAAAGATCTATTAAAGTAAGATATAAAGAACGCATAGCACATTTAAAATATGGAAGACCTGAAAAATCAGCAGTCGCCCATCATATTTTGCAACAAAACCATTCCATAGACTTCAGTTCATTAAGATTAGTTAAACAAGTTAACAACAGGCAACTAGATCCCTATGAGAGTGTAGAAATAAGTAAACACAATATTATGAATAACGATGACGGACCTATACCAAAGAGCATAGTATATAGCTTGTTGAAATAAAATAAAATAATGTTGTTGGGTTTACTGATTACTACATAAGGACACATTGCAAAAATAAATGTATAGGCAATATTGTGAAATTGATTTTTATATAGCTGAAAATTGATTTCTCTATTATTGTAAAATAATAGATGAGGCAAAATTATACAATTAATTTCGTTAGGTATACCTGTATGAGTGGTACGCCTGGATGGTTTACCTGTATGGGATACCTATATAGCATAAATAGGATTAGCTCGCATTAGTTTCTAGTTTCAATCTTCCTCTTTGAAGATGATCACTTGGTGATCGAAACATGTGTCGAGGTGTTGAAAATAACGATTTGGTGTTGGGAAAAAAACTCCAGTGATATTCATACCTATGAAGCAAGTTTTGGTAATTTATATATTGATTTGTAATACAATACTCTACAGGACATATCCCAGTTACAGAGCAGGAAATAACAGAGTATAATAAATACATCACAAACAAGTGACTATTTAGACTACATATTTCATATTTATAATAGGTGACAAAACAATTATTTTAGGAAGTGGGATCTCATATCTGACTATTTGCAACTGATTATATCTGAATTATTGCTAACAGAGTTTGTTACTTTACACATGGTATGGATCGGAGAATTCTCCAGAACATTTGTGCGAGATGTCTTTATATAGAAAGTACTCGGGTGTCTGGAACAGATTCTAGGAATGCAAATATTGAACATTTCCAGTTATGTTGGGCAGTCAACTAAGCCTTTGATGATTTTATAGGTTAGTGCAACACTGTAGTATTCACGCTTTTTTTCGAGACTGAAAAATGTATGCTTTTGTAGCAATTCAGAGTGGGTTGTTCCTATTGGAGGATAAATGCCATCAGTGTTTAGGCTTAGCAGTTTTAGAAATTGTCGTTGAATTGCTTCTATTCTATCTATATGATATTTATAAAAGGGGATCCACACAATTGACACTTATTCTAACTTTTAAGATCGAAGTTTCTTCAAAGTCACTATTGTTACGTGCAATTAATCCGTACAAACGACAGGAGGAGGTTACAACATTATCGATATGCCTATCAAATGAGAGTGCAGTGTCAAATGTGACGCCAAGATCAGTAAATGTTTCTGATCTCACCAGGAAAACGTTTTCTATTGGATAATCAAAGATCACTACTCTACAGATATAGATGTGAATGACGACGCTCTTACTGTACGCCCCAGCATATCAACAATCAATGATGAAGTTGAGAAAGTGAAGAAAATTGTTATGGAGATTCTCGAATCACTATCAGAAAAGTTGATGAGGATGTCGGCACATTGGTTGGTTCATGCCATGCAACTATTCAACAAAAAAAACATCGCATCACTCTGGAATTGTTGAAGCACATCAACGGCTATCCAGATTCACTTAAAAGGGTCATAACTGATGACGTATCATAGGTGTATGCTCATTACATCGAAATTAAAGTCCAAACATCCCAATGGAAGAGCCCAGAAGAGCCAAGACCAATTCGATCAAATGTTGAGGTTTTGCTCACTGTTTTCTAACGATCGAGTATTTATATCATGTATATCTTTTCTATATATGACTTTATCATGGAGATAGTTGAGTTGCTTATATTCCAAAGTTTGTAGAAGTAGCAAAGGGTTTGTAGTTTACGCCTGTGGAACATATTGAGCCACTCAAATCTTCGATTTTATAGGAAACTCTCTGCCTGCTTTTTATGCAAAAAATAAGGCTGACTATCCACGCCATCTGGACATGTCTCATAAATGAATCACACATGATTTTTCAACATCTTGGCCTAAATAGTGTATATGTGGCTTAATCGTCTTCAAGNAAATGGATATGGAAGAGAACAGTTGAGTAGAAAAAAAAATATCAGGAATTATTACAAAAACCTCATTAGTGACTTCAATTCGTTTAAAAAATGCACCAATTTGAAATTTTTAAGATATGATATTGATAACAGTGGATTGTTTTATTGATAATAAACAATAACGCTACCGCAAATAGTTTCATTATCCTGTCAGCCTTGGAAATAATACGTTCTCGAATTTTAACATGTGGCATCAAAAAATATTATTGGTCATGACGTGCGTTAATGTTTTTCTTGAGCCGACCAATTCTCAAAAGTGCCAGGCCTCTGCACGGACATGCGTAAAATCAAAATATCGCTCCCATGACGGTTCCTGCAATAATATTGAAAATCCTTTGTGGGGCACGCCGTTTTCAAAATATGGTAGATTGTTACCACCAAAATATGGTGATGGTAAGTTCAATTCATTTTCAGATATATACATTCATTTCTCCAGTTATTTTGAATTCTAAATACGTTATCAAGAAAAAACATGCCAGTTTAACGGGGGCCTAACGTTTTAATGTGCGATCCCAATGAGAAACGTTTGAGAATGGGGCGATGAGGGTACTCAGAGTATTCAGCAATGATATTTCAAACTACGTTACATGCGTTTTTTCGTTTTCGTATTAGGTGAAAAATGGGGAAGTGAGACAGCAAAAACACGCGGCATTGGGGGAGTATGGAGGGATTTCAAAACGTTGTCACCATCATCAGGTGTTGAGGTTAGGTAAAAAAGAAGAAGGAACATTCAGAATGAAAATTTATGACAGCTTTCGACCAATTCGTAATCTCGTCATTGAATTTCTTCAGTTCCAACCTTGGAAGTTGAAAATTCCTCTTTGGCATAGGAATGTAGGCTTACACGGCTGACGTCAATGTTTTGATTGGCTTCCGGGTTTTGCCGTGGTCTTTTTTGGTTATAATCTTCAAATGTTTCAACTGCAACTGTGGCGGTCATCTTCAGTGGCTTGGTCGAAGTACTCTTTGGCGCTAATTCTAAATGAACTTTGACTTGCTTCTGATTTTTCAAAGAAAAATCTTCAAGGTGCTCTCAGAGCGGTACCATTGCGAATACAGCGATTCATATTGGATTTGAATCGCTGGAGATGAAATCCATTTGAAAAAAGGTTCTCAGGACGTTTATTTTACATAACCGCACTTCTTCAGATGAACGAGTTCTTAAAAAAAGAAGTTCGAAGTGTACTGAGTTGACCTCCAAAACGATGAGCAGTACTTCTGATATGTACCGCTCTTGGTGGAATCAAATGTGCCTAGTCTTTTGGACACTTCCCGTGAAAGTATCTATACAAGAGAGACAAAATCTCCAACCTTTCTTTGATGTTCCAAGGTGCAAGTGATGTTCGCGTCTCCAACCTGGTGGACGTTTTTTTCTGGGCGGAATCCAGCAGTTTCAGGGTACGTTTAGAGGTAAAGCTCCATACCTGAGAAAAATGCTCCAAAGGAAGTTTGATCTGAGCTTTGTAAAGCATCAGAAGTTGCTGAGGTGTCTACAGTTTCCTGGTTTGGAACAGAGTCCCAGGCTTTTGAGAAGCAGCCTTTTGCAATTCCAGCGACATGATTGTGCCAAGACATATTGGTGTACATTTTAACCCCCAACGAACTTATCGAAGCAGAAAGCTAAATTGTCTGACATTAATCTTTTTGAAGAAATTCGATGCTTGGGTTTTTGTGGCCTTGAATTGAACTTGGTTGATTTCACCCCAATTCAAAATTACTTCTAGATCCTCAACTTCCTGCTGCTGCTGAAGATGTGCATCCGCAGCCGATGTTCTGGAATCCAAAGGTAATGACGAGACAAGTGTGCTGTCGTCAGCAAAGCAATATATTGGATCCTAGTTTTTTTCCAATATGTCGTTGATATACAATAAAATGAGAGTTGGAGATAATATTGAATTGAAAGTATTTGAGAGATATCCGTCGACGGCCACTTGTATGGAACGACTTTTCAGGAAGCTCAAGAACCATACACCAAAGTGATCCAAACAGCTATAGCATCGAAGTTTGGCCAGAAACCCTCATGCCACACACTGTCGAAGGCTTCAGAAATATCAAGCGCAACAGCTCTTGACTTTCCATGTCTCTCTATTGCGTTATTCCAATGGCATGTGGGAATGTGGGGGTATTCTTTGGAACTTCGCTCACAAAAACTGTCAACTGGTTGTCATTGACAAATGTTGAACTTATCAATTTCCATTGTGTTCTATTGCATCCATTTCCGGAATTTTTGGACTTCACACATATTGTCATGTATTTCACGCCCTTCGGTACGTTCACATACAGAACGTTATTTATTATTGCAGCACAAAATTCATTTCAGCATTGGCGACGACATTATCTATGCTGCGAGGTTGAATTCTTTCCAATGGATATTTCGTTGAAGGTACTTTTCGATTAAACATCTGTCTTGAAAATCTAAATCATTCGGCTGCTTCGAAACAATCGTTTTCTCTTCGAAAAATTGAATATCTTTTTCCACACGTTTGCAAAACTCTTCGACTTTCCGTTTGTATTCTTCAGATGACATTTCATCAGTGATTATTTCAACTGTTCAACGATATTAACATACTTTCAAACAATGATATTACCCACCTTCCACAATGCCGCGTGTTTTCATCCCCACACTCCCCCCATTTGCCACCTAACATTTGCCAACATTGCACAACCGAGTCAAATATAGTTACAACATCCGAAATGCAGATATTCGATACAAAAGACTTTATGATTAACTACCTGAATGATGGAAAATCGATGCTACATACTTATAATTTTCATTTTCGTGTTCTCCAGTAAAAATTGTGATGTTGGAGTACTCGCAATCCCCTGCCATCTTCAATAATAACAAAGTCAGTTTCCTACGCTTTCAACACTTCTGCAAATGCCTAATTATGTTTCTAGATATCGAATCCATTGATGTCGAAATTATCGAAATCGGACGACCGGAAGTGAAAACCGGAAGTGACCATTTTATTGTAGATTCTATTTCAATGCTTCTATTTCAATGTTTATAAACCCGAAGTGTTTATTTTTCAATGAATCGTACAGATCCAAAACGTTGTTAAATCCACATATTTGACACATTTATCAATGACAAATAATGCTGTCCTTCTGGCATGTTGGATCCCACGGAAAAATATTAGACCCTCCTAACCTTCCATGTTGCGCGCGCCATCTATGTTTTTTCTCCTTCCTCTTCTGATGAAGCCAACTTGAAGGTTTTTTCTTGCAAGTTGGCAGCCATTTTTTTTTTCCTTCAACGCTGTATATTCCGCTCAATGTCCGCCGCCATGTTTTTTCTTTGAACGCTGCATACCCTGTATACCTCCATGGCAGTCATAGTTTTTTCTTTAACGCAGGCAGCCATGTTTTTTTCTTCATTGCTGCACACACCCTGTGCAGTATTCGATTGATGTGTTTTGAAACAACACCTTCTATTCTTTGGGAAAGAAAGTTTTTGGCTTTCTACTACTCCATCTGATACAAAAAAATGGATGAGAGAATCTTCCAAAGAAAGGAAGGATTAATCAATTTGTGAATAAGTAACTCTATACATGGATGTGTAGATCATGCAAAGAAGTAACTTTCAGACACAAACTGAAAGAAAGTCCTCCTGAAACAGCTACTTTCATATAAACATATGTCATCGATGACATCGTAATGACATTCATTCACCTATTTGATTTAATCCCAGCCATGAGGAATCTTATTTGATTTGAAAGGGTTATATTTTTATTATTTGTATCAGATGGAGTAGTAGAAAGCCAAAAACTTTCTTTCCCAAAAAATTAATCACTCCTAAAAATATAACCCTTTCAAATCACCTTCTATTCCTTATGATTTCTCGACAAGCAACCGCCATGTTTTTTTTACGTTAGCAGCCATCTTTTTTTCTTTAACTCTGCACATACCCTGTATAACTCGATGGCAACCATGGTTTTTTCTTGAACTCTGCACACCCCGTATAACCTCCATTTCTACGTAGGCCGTGCAGAGGTTTACGTTCTTCATTGCTTCTGTTAGTTGAATTTCCGGTGTCACAGAAATCTCTTTGGTGATCTACAACATGCATGTTATTCCAACAAAAACAAAAACTACAAAATCGAGGAATAAGAATAATTTTAAAATGTAATAGGTATACACCAATTCCTACCATGCTATCTGCTCTACAATGGCTCTCAGTATCCAAAAGATTATTCTATCGTTCCATGGTTTTCATTTATAAAATATTGAATAAAATGACCCCACCATACTTGCTATCATTAATGACTTTCAATAAGGACATTCATCACCATTCTACTAGGCACAACAGTCACATTCATATAAATAAAACAAATACAAGAAATTGTATGAGCAGTTCATTTTTTAAAGATTTTGTCCGATTCAATGATATAACGGATTCAATTAAATCTACTCTATCATTAAATATTTTCAAGAGCGAACTATTAAAATTCATTCATGATAGAAATTGGAAAATTTCTTTCCATTCAGTTCAAATTATGTATGGATATAAAGTTGTATTATTTATATAAATTGTGTTGATTATATTATATTTCAAGTTAGCTAACCTGTATATTAGGGAATCCTAATTCAATAAATAAATTCCAAACTTCAAATATCAATGACATATGATAGAAGGTCGCCTGTTGATCTTTGTTAATGAGATCCATATTGATTATCGCTCAAGATATTGAAGCCTTCCTAATATTGAGGATATGGTTTACGGCTTCCTTCATGATTTTTCATATCACTGATATGCAATTGAAACATCCGCTTGTGAATGAACTCGCTATGGTAATATTCTGAGGGTGATAACTTATGTTTGCTCTGAATAGTTCCGTTGAAATCTGTTCATCCAACCTAACCTAACCCTTTGGCTCCTATTTTCCATTTGATTCAATAACGCTGCAAGTTCTCCTTTCTTCGAACCAGCATCTCTCAAAATATTTTCGAGATCTTGCCTCTACTTTTCAGGCTCCGCCTGAGGAAAACCCTCATCTTCTGAGGTACTTTCAAATCTCTTTTTTGTCATGGTCCCTAATAATGTAAGAAATGGGAAAAACTTTGGCGTTTTCTGCTGATTTTCAACGAGTTACTTTATGACTTCTTTTATATATCGATCTAGAACTCCATTAAGGTTAGAATGAAAAGAGTGTGGCCCTTGACCAGGTTGTGAAGGTTTTTTGAATATGGACAAAATTATTGAACAAACCAATTTTTGGCAAATTCTTCAACCTCATATAATGAATATTTTTGAATTGAAGGGGTTATATTTTTGGGAGGGATTAATTTTTGGGAAAGAAAGTTTTTGGCTTTCTACTACTTCATCTTGATACAAAAAAAAAGATGAGGGAATCTTCCAAAGAAAGGAAGGAAGAAATCAACTTGAAAATAAGTAACTCAATACATGGATATGTAGATCATGCAAAGAAGTAACTGAAGAGCCTTAGGGCAAGTGTCTTACGGCGAAACATCGATGTATACTAGTGAGGATGACAGTGTTCCATGTAAGTGCAATTTGTTACCATTTATTTAAAGTAGAACTCATGTGAATGATATCTGATTTCAATCCACAACACATGTTTGAAATACAAACTGAGTAGAGAAGAGTATCTTCTGTATAATTCAGTGTTCATATAGAAGTATTTGTTTCTTTTTTTTCTTTCGTGTAATTCAATGTTCATATGAAAGTAGCTGTTTCAGGAGGACTTTTTTTCAGTTTGTGTCTGAAAGTTACTTCTTTGCATGATCTACACATCCATGTATAAAGTTTGGAAGATTCCCTCATCTTTTTTTTTGTATCAAGATAAAGTAGTAGAAAGCCAGAAACTTTCTTTCCCATGAATATTTTGTTTTCAGGTATCAGTAGTCTCACATTATCAAGAACAGGAAAACCGCTGCCAAATCCAAGAAGCCTCAGCATTGCTATTTATCCTGACATTCCGTATACAGATCGATTGTTCACTCTTAATGCTATGCAATTTGGACAGATAGTAGTTCATGACATGAGCTTGACTGTTCTCTGTGAGTATGAAATACCTAAACAAAAAATCTTACCCCAACGTGACTNCAATATAATTGTTACTTACAGCTATTTATCTTTAATTCTTTTTTTTATTTGTTTCAGGGTTTCAAATCATTTTATATATTACAATGGAAGTCCGAACTAGTGAAATTGAAATATGATGTGGTTCAATCGTTTATATTCATTTTCAATTCTTCTTTTTTAGTTGTTTCAGGAATTCAAATCATTTTATATAGTAGACAATGGAAGTCAGAACTAGTAAAATTCATCATGAAATATTATGAATCACCTTCAAACAATAGTTGTGTATGCTTTTATCATACCTATAGTGTTGGCGTCGATTTGGATGAAAATATATCAGATTTTGGTTTGATAGTTTGGGTTTATTATCTGAAATATATAAAGAAATGGATATTCCTATGCCATTGAATATGTCTACGGCAGTAGCAGACGAAACATTGGATATGATGGTGATGAACCATATATTGAGATTTTGAACCAATATAATATATTGTTAATTAGAAGACTCCCACATTTTTGGTATCAAGATGGAGAAATGGAAGGCCAAAAACTTTCTTTCCTAAGGATTTTTAGCTTTCCACTTCTTTATCTCTATACAAAAATAGTGGGAAACTTACAAATGAAGGAAGAAAACAATTCATTTCAGAATAAACTCTATACGATGATATGTAGATCAAACTAATGAGTTACTTTTAGACACAAACTGAAAGAAAAACCCTCTATGAACAAATACTAGTCCTCCTGAAACAGNATACTTCTATAGAAACATTGAATTACACGAAAGAGAAAGTACTTTCGCACCTACCACTTTCATATGAACGTTGAATTGTACGAAATATATTTTTTTCTATTCAGTTTGTACTCCAAACATTCGTTTTGGTGAATATGAAAGAGACGAAATTTCACTCACATGGTATATTGTCGTCTTCAATAACGGACATCGATGTTTCGGAATGAGACATTCGTCTTTTCGCCTTTTCGGTACAAATTTGTTACAAGATGAACCATTCAATTCATTCATGATATATCAGCTATTACTCGAAAGGAAACATACTTTTGTAACAACTTTTTTATATCAACATTGAATTATACAAAAAACACTTTCATCTATTCAAAAACAGTGATCCTGTTCATCCTGGTGTGGAAACTATTTTCCGGGTTTCTTCACCATAGCCTGCAGCTTTTTATGTCTAAGTTTCGTCTACTACTGCGGTGGTAACTACTGTGGTAACGGTCACAGTGCCCGAGTCGGTGCTTGAGTTATAGTTCCCTCGGTACCTTCAAGGGCAGGTAGCCAGATTTATCTGATATTCATTGCCTCTTCTTTTCTATTGAAATTATCCTTGTGTTTTTGAATTTCTATTGCCTTTTGGATTGTAATTTTATGTTTCATTGAGTATTACTGTAACTTCAAATGAAATACTGTGAGTTCCCTGATTGTCGGTTTGTCCAAGTCGACAATTCCTCTTGTGTTCAGAGAGATGAGTAAACTTCTTTTCGTGGTTCCAATGTTGATCCAATGCAGCAGCAACTACAAGTGATCCCGCATACCCCGGGTGATGAAGGTAGGTACTCTGGGGTCCTTAGCTGACCTTAGACGTTGTCTGATAGTTTTTTTGGGCTTAAATATTGGTTTCAAGTCATTTTGCTCTGAATTCTCTCTATTCGATCTGTACCATTTTCAACATAGGAAAGGGAAGCTGTTCCCTTCACCAGTCTAGCTGGGGTTACTTTGGAATTCTCTCCGCTGGATCGTACATCCCGATCGAGTTCTCTTCTGCTGTATCCATTTCCTTTGAAGGAACTTTATAAAGTATCAATAGTTGCTGACTTGTATACAGTTTTCTGGTTCGAAACAGTGTTCATAGCTTTTGAGAAGCGAATTTTGCAATTCCAGCGACATGACTGTGCCAAAATATTTTGGTGACCATTCCAATCACCTCTTTCTTCCGCTGATTAAAGTTTTTGTTCAGGTGTCTGTCTGTGTGTGTTGTTCCCTGTGCACTATGTGGCCGAATGTACCATTTTCACGTCATCCAATTCTTAGTGTTCCTCGTTCTTAGCGTTCAACTAAGGAGACCAAATAACATTAAGCTACACCGAAATTATCGACTCGAACAAACCGATGAATCAGTTGTCAAACATGCTCCTAAGGAAGAAAGCACTTACATTATCTCTCTCGAAGAGACAGTAATACTCGATAAAACTCGAAATTACTATTCAACAGTAAATAGAAAGGCAATATAAATACAGAAACACAGGGAAAATTTCAATAGAGAAGAAGAGGCAATAAACATAATTGAAATCTGGCTACCTGTCCGTGAAGGTACAGGAGTACAACAACTCGAGCGCTGCCACCGTTACTACATCGCTTTTGATATAGTCTACCGTAGTAGTGGACGACACGTTGGACATAAAAACCTGCCAACCCTAGCCAAGATACCCGGGAAATCACTTTCACGCAGTTATTTTCGGCCGTGAAAGTTAACATTGTTTAGAATCTGTTCATAAATTATTTTTCCGTCAACCAATTGTCGCCCTCCCACAAATAACAACCCTCAAAAGCCTAAACATATGCGAGCTAGAAAATAACGAGGTATTCCATTTCAACGTGTGATTCCTAGCATTTTGAATGAAATATATCCTGGTAAAATATTCAATTTTATGACATTCCCAGTTGCGATGAACAACCTCTATCGGGATGATTTCATTTCAACCTGTAGAATTCAAATAGGTCGCTGTGAATAAACTCATAATTACACTTGATGCGTTGTTATTTTCAGCAAATGTTCCAGCTGTTTGCTGCTCCGAATCCGGTAAAATGCTCGATCCTGGTGCACGACCATCTCACTGTTTACCGATTGATCTTCCCGTTAACGACCCTGTTTATTCTCCAGCTAACCAAACTTGCATGGGTTTTATTAGGACTACCACGGATCGTGACCTGAACTGTGTTGGAGGTTCACAACCTGCCGAGCAAGTAAGGATGTGTAAACATTTACAAGCTGGTGGGATTATTGAATACATCAATTAATTCGTAGATTGACACGTGCTATTTATATATTCGGGGATAATTTCGTTCCCGTTCATATTTGAAATCGTCTGAAAGGTGTAACAAATATTTCATTGGTACTCCACGGTATTAGCTGAAAAATGAAAGCAAAATATCATTGAATAAATCATAATTTCAATAATAAATACAGTGAAGCAGTCTAAGCTATGCATGTTTTGTTTCGAATTTATCTGTAAATTTGATTCTTGGAGACTGGATATTTCCAATAATACCTAATTTATAGGTGAAGTATGTCAGTCAAAAAAGTTTTTCTATATTCTTTTTGTTTTAGTTACAACAACTGAACATCAAACCAAATATTACTCGTACTATATACAGTGTGTGAAAAAGAGTAATAATACTGAATATAAATACTGAACATATCTGGATGACATTTAATTTTAATATGTCTCAATGAGAAATGGTTCATGAAAGTATAAAATTGAATATGTTCGAGAAAAACACCGGCATAAAAAATATTCCATAAGCTTGTTACGTCCACCAAAATATGATTTCGAGAAATTGTGTCAATGTGAATATATTTCAATCATAATATAGGACTGTAGGCTTTCACAGCTAGCGTCAATGTTTTGGTTGGTGTCCGGGTTTTGCCGTGGTCTCCTTTGGTTACAATCTCCAAACTTTTCAACTTTTCAGTAGCATGCTCAGAGTACCCTTTTTGACAACTGAAACTGAAGCTTTCATTTCTTGCCGACATTGCCGACCGTCTATTAAATTTTGTATAGGTAGTCACAAACTGTATCGAATGGCTCATGTTATCCTGGTAGAAAAACAAACCCAGCTTTAACACATGGAAAACTATTCAGTATCAATCCTTGATCCATTTCACACTATTATTATCAAGCTCAAAGTTATATTATTATCATTACCGACTTCTTTATTAGTCGATGCTTACAATTATTGTTTCACGAAATTATGGCGAAGGCACCCTTCGCCTTCACCATAATCTTGATTATTTGGTCAATAATCGCTATTTCAGTCTTCTGCGATGATCATTAGTCATGAGTATCTGTATTTGGTTCACTATTTCAATCTTCCCAGCTTATTAATATATGAAGACATCAATTTTCAGCCAAATTTTCTCTACGAATTCAAATTGAACCAAAGCGCTGCCGAAAAATTAACTATGCATCTGGCAATGACAATGTTAAAGAACGTACTGTTCGACGTTGATTTGTCAAATTTCGTTTCACAGATTTTAGCCTGGAAGATAAGCCCCAGAGTGGTCGAGCGACAGTGATCCAGGACGTAGGTTTGAGGACCCTAGTGGAGACTAATACATCATAAATCATAAAAAATTGTATTATTTTGCCATGCCACACAATTACGTCCGTATGGTGCGGTTTTTGTTGGTTTAAACTAGTCTTTCTCGAAGTGGGCGATAACATTTCCTTTTGGGCGCTGGAGGCCTATAAGGGGGCAGTAAAGGGCACAGAGAAGATTGGGTTGCGTTGAAGCGGTTTAGGGGAGTGACGGCAATTTTTTTTGCTCTCAACACAGACTTTATCGGTCTGAGAAACTTCAAGTCATCCGCAAACATTAAAAATTTACTGTTCTCGAAACAGTCATTCACAATAATATTGAATAACAGGGGTGAACAATGTGATCCTTGTGGCACTCCAGATATTACAAATATATCCCTCGTATAGTTGTTCAATCCGTAATATTACAGGCTTTTAAAATAAACCGTGGTATACAGGATGCTGTCTATTTATTGTTTTAGCCAATTTTTTTTTTCATAGTCCCCATTTGAAAAAAATGGGTAAAAAATGAAAGTCCACTTACATGGCCATGACTTCAAATCTCGATGTTTTTACCAATGCTGATTTAATTGCTTGAATAAGGATTTAGCCTGCTCTAGATAAGGATTTCAAACACTTGGGCAGAGTTGCATATTATTGATATCGGTCTACAATAACCGACATCAAACTTTTCCCCTTTTTTATAAATTGGTCGAATTTTGGATAAATTCCATAAATCTGGAATTGTACTAGTTTTGGTGCAGATATTTCAAGTTTCAGAACCAATATCAAATCTTCCTCTTCAGCACATCTCTTTTCTAAATGGACGCTTAATCTTTGTAGAGATTTCAATTTTCCCCAGAGAGATTTAACCTGGGGTTGAACATGTTCACAAATTGAATTTGGACACACTTTTGAGGTTATACCACCTTCTGCATCTTGGACAGTTTCTCCACTTTAATTTCCACTTCGCAGTGATAGGAATTCAAGGAGCACATCACTATTCACTGTTGAAAGAAGTTTTTTTGTGGTTATAATTTCTATTAGCTTACTTTTTTCAGTTTGTTGAGCTCAGATGTAACTAGTATAGCATTACTTTCCGCCTTCTAGAATTCAGTTTTGTCTAAGACAGAGATTTTTAACTCATAGCAGCTCGTAACCTGTCCATCACGAGATGGAGGTTTCATAGCTGTCTTATATACTTCAATAGCCAGCGTAGTATTAGCCGGGAAAATAGTGGTTTTCCTGCAGGCATTCACCAGAAACTACTGTGTAGGTAGTTGGCAGAGATGAATGTTTAGACATTTTTCTAGTATTGATGTATCTCTCCTCGATACAGAATTCAGTTTTGAATAACTGTCTCTATGTCACGAAAAACTCGTGTTTTACCATTTCATAGCTACAATACTCTAATTTAATTTTGATTTCTATTTTCTGACAGTCATCAAATAATTGAAGATGGCATCTGCTAAAAACTTTCAATATTTGGGCGACACGGATTTCAGCAGGACAGTTCAATTCCTGACAGAAAATAATACAGATAATAATACGTTATAATACAGATATATTTTTGACATAATGCAGTTTTTCAATGGCTGTTACAGTATAGTATTTGGTGGCTACTCCAATCGTATTAACAGTAAACAATATAATTTTTACAGCTGTCACAGGTGACAAGTTTTCTGGATTTGTCGCTTGTTTATGGTAACAATGTAGAAGTGAACAACCAAATCAGAACTTTTCAGAATGGTTTACTCCGAACAGAAACAAGAGGAGGACAACAATGGCCTATTCGTTCTACCAACATTTCTTTCGATTGTACTCTCCGAAATCAAAACGACGCTTGCTATTTCAACAGTTAGTATGCTTGTTTTTATTAAATCCGAAAATGATAATCACATGATTTGATATGTTTGAAAATGATATTCACGTGATTTGATAAGTTTGGAAATGATATTCACGTGAATCCAAAACGAGCATTTTCCCAATTATCAGAAATGCAATACTCTTTTAGACGCGTATTTCACACGCTGGATTGGCATCTCCCGGAGTAAAAATTTTCTTCGTCTCTTAATGAAGCAAACTACATCTTCTAAACACGCCGACTTGGTTGGTGAAACGCGCTTCGAAAAAAGTATTGCATTTCTGGTGACTGGAAAAGGTGCTTGTTTTGATTATACAGGGCTATTCAAATACGATTCTTCACATGCGGATCTCGTAAACCATAAGAGAAAAAGTGACGGTTAAATTGTAGCAAAGTTGCGTATTTTACGCAACATCATTGAATAAGTCTCTAAAATACACAACTTTGCCACGATTTGATCGACACTCTTATCTCTTATCGTTTACGAGATCCCCATGTACAGAAACGAATTTGAATAGCCCTGTATTTCACACCAAAGGTTCAAGTTTTTTTTTCCTGATTTTATTCACTGAAATAGCTCTACCCATCCAAACTTTCACAGTATAGTAGGTTCAAAGTTCTCTGGCAAACAGAATTGGATGGAACTCTTTTTTCCAAGGAAAAATCACAAGCACTACAGAAAAATCTCTGCTGTGCGAAAGTAGCGAATCACATTAGATTTGAATTGCTAGAGATTGACTTCATTCGACAAAATGTTCCCAGAAAGTTTATTCCACCTAAACGCAGTTCTCCACATGGAAGAGTTTTTGAACAGAAAAGTTCGAGGTGTACTGAGTTGAACCTGAAAACGACAGCCACAATTCGTCGCGCACTTCTGATATGTACCGCTCTTGGAGAAATCAAATATGCTAAATCACTTGAACAATTTCCGTAGAAGGAAGACAAATCCAACCTTTTTTCGATGTTCAAGACTATCAAGATTGCAAGTGATTTTCATGTCTCCAATCCGGTGGATTGCTCTTTTCCGGATGAAATCCAGCAGCTCCAGGGTATGCTTAGGGGCGAAGCAAACCCTACTTGCAGAAAATATTCTTTCAGGAAGCTGGAGAGGCATACACAAAAATTATTTTACAAGCCATTGTATCAAAGTCTGGCCAGCCAACTCTCATGTCGCACACGACTGAAGGCATTAGAAATATCAAGCGCCACAACTTTTGACTCTCCATGTTTCTCGATTGCGTTATTCCAAATATGGGTGACATACGGTAGAAGGTCGCCTGTTGATCTTCGTTTCCGAAAGTGACATTGATGATCGCTCAAGATGTTGAAGCCTTCCAAATATCCAAGTATACAGGGTGTAACTGAATGAATGTAAAACATTTGAGGAGGTGATTTCTCATCGAAAAAAAGATAGGATCTTTCATATAAAGAAACTTCATTGGAGCATCCCTTGTGAAGATACAGCTCCTTAAAGGGGGTACATAAAATTTATATAACGATTTTTTTCACAAGCACTGAAGAAGTTATAATATTGAAATCAACCTGACGTTTTGTACTATCAAAAAGACACTTAGCCAGTAATTTATTTGGATTACCTCATGGTTATAAAGAGTGGAATACGCAACCCGTAAAATTTATTTCCAATGTAACTTTTTGTCCTATTATTTTTTTAACATTTAAAAATGTATTTCCAATAGCCTGTTTCATTCTAAATAAAAAATGTTTCTTGGGTTTTTGGTCCAAAATAAACCAGTTCGCAGAAAAAAAAAATTACGAACAACTACAGAGATACATCGTCATAAATGCGAACTGGATTTATTGTTATTTTGTAGTTAGTACCTGCATTAAAACATTAAAGGGTAATTAACAAGGGATGCTCCAATATTCTATATTCCTATATTTTTTTCGATGAGGAATCACCTTCCTGAATGTTTTACACTTATTCAGTTACACCCTGTATAGTAGTTTACGGCTTTCTCTATGATTTTTCAAATCACCGATAGCAAAGCAACTAGTTTATAGTTATTTGGGAGATTTTTTTGCTCTTTTTGGGAATAGACTGAAAGCGAGCAATTCCCCAACAAGAAGGGAAAACCCCTTCCTTGTGAGAGGTCGTTCATTATTGAAAATGCATATTGAAATTCACTAACGAGATGGAATATCATCTAGTTCATCAATTCTGTTGAAATGACCGTCAGTTGTAAACCCTGCCGATAAACTAACAATCATTATTTCATCTCATTTACCGACCCGTCTTTTGTTCATAATCATAAAAAATGTATTGCTTGATAAATTTTGGATAATCATAAAAAATGTATTGCTTGATAAATTTTGGATTCATTTTTGAACAATGCAAACACATTTAAATTTTTAGTATAATAAACAATTATCACTCAGTTGATTCAATCTCAGGAATGTCGTTATTGCTCAGGTTGAATATTCATAACAACTATCAAAACTATTCTCATATTCAGTATGAATTATTTATAAAATTTCAAGTGAGATATTTGAAAACGAATGCAAAAATAATTGCAATTCATTTGTTAGTGGTAATTATCATTGCAGTTTTTTTATGACAAAGAAAAGGTCAATTGTGAATGACAATGACGATGTAATGACGAAACTTATCAGGTGAATGATCAATTTTGGCAAAACAGGTGGAAAAACGAATGAAACGTTCAAAAGTAAATTAAAATATTTGAGTTCATTGTTTTTCAGAGATTTTAGGAGTTTTGATTCTGCCCTATTGAATATTGAAATACCAATTAGTGTGGACGATATAAATGAATGTTCTACTGTTCGATTGGACAGAAGCTCAGTCAGAATATTGTGGTACCATATGACCTATTACCTTTTGTCCTGAAGTCCTCAATATTCGATTTTTTGGTATCGAATATCACAAAACATCATCAACATATCTCAGCAATATCCTAGGGAAATACTTCGACATTTCTTTTGTTTCCATTTCGAATCTACTCATGAACAGATGATGTTTTTGCAATAGCTGATAACAAATAATCGAATATTGAAGACTTTCATCAATAAAATTCACGTATGACTTAGAAATTTCTTCCATTTCTTGAAGTTTTGATCATGATTCTTAGAGAAAAAATGGTTCTTTGATTTTAATATGTGGTCGCAAAAAACGATTGTTGATGAATGAATGCATTTTTTAGCAACAAATAAATTTTTTGAGGAATCTTCATTCTGTAAAAATCATGATTTACATCAATAAGTATATTACGTACGTAATTTTACGTTGTAAATAATTTATAATTTACAATTTTATACATGTCATATATAAAGTTGATCTATACATTAGCCAATTGAGAATAACTTTACTTACGAGGTGCAAAAAATTCTAGGGTTTCAGTTTGTTAATTATCAGGGTTTTTATGTCAACTTTCAGTTTATAAATTATTATTGATTAACACTTCTTTGATTGACAACTTGTTTATTTTGTGGAATTTCATTTTCACTGAGGATACACTACAAAAACACACTTTTGTCTATTAGTATAGTTTGACATCAAGAACATGTTTCCAAATATCCCAACAGATGAATACCTTCCCCTGATCAAAAACATATTAGATAGGCAAAATATTAACCCATATATTAACAGTAAACTTTGTGAATGGTTGAACAAGTTAACAACAACATTCATTAAGATGTTTATGAGAGCTTAGAAATAAGTATATATAATAATATTGTGAAAAACGATGGTGGACAAATAACTAACAGTTTACTATATAACTTGTTGAATTAATATTTTCAGTTATCAGATTTACCTGACTAGTAGAGAAGGCAATATTATGAAATCGATTTTAAGACAATAAGGATGAAGGTACCTCTGTTGGGTACCTCATTTGATTCCTAGCAGAGGTATCTATGTTATGAATAAGTACAACATTGTTATTGTATGTAGATCAAATTCAATCTTCTCAACCTAACCTCAACTTTGTTTCTTAACCTAACCTAACCGAACATAACCTGACCTAACCTAAGCTAACCTAACCTAACCTAACCTAACCTAACCTAACCTAACCTAACCTAACCTAACCCAACTCAACCTAACCTAACCTAACGTAACCTAACCCAAACTAACCCACGATAATCACTTAGTGATTAGAACACGTATCAAGGTGTTGAAAATAACGATTTTGTGATGGGATAGAGCTCCAGTAATAATAATTACCTTTCTTTCAGTTGAAAACGGCATTTATGAAATTTCTTCAACCTCATCCCATTTATTTTTCAGTATCGTCTCAGAATCTAGAACACTTCAGCAAAGCATACAACTGAGAGATTGGTATTTTGATCCGCAAGTGTTGGAAAATGGCGACAATTTCAATGGATTGGCACGAGGCTTATGCACTCAGCATCAGATGGCTTCAGATCGTTATCACGATAAGGGGGTAAACAGCAATTCCTTAGTTCATTTTAATGTCATCCTGAACAGTCAAGGATTTCTTTCTGAATGATGTACTCTATTTCTCCACCTATATCTATTACTAAATGATGATTCAATATACACTTTCTTTACAACCCTCTTCCTGAACATAAGAATTTTGCAATGAAAAGTGGCAATAATATATTGATTTTTCACACGGAATCTCATCGAAATTTTCGTTTCTGGGATTTTGTTAAATTGAATTTGATACAAAAAGACTCTCAAATCTCAATTCCGGTTATATGTATATCACTTCTTTCACATATTGTGATTTAATGTCTAAAGAAAGCACTTTAAAAGAAAAATAATACAAAGTGACATCATTATGTCAGTTACATTAATTATAACTCAAAATCGGTCGGAACGATTTTTATGATTTACGATGTGTTGGATTCGTCTCCGCCCGAAAATCATAAGAAAAATTATGGAAAAACAATTGAAGATTGTACAAATTGGCGACATTCGGTTAACAAGATTATGTCAGTTTGCATAGTGCTCGCCAATACATTTGAGGTTATGACATTTGTAATTGCGCAGACTGCACAATATAACTGCACAATATAACTGCAGAATATTGCGAATCGATCAACTACAGACGAAGAATAAATACCATGAGAAGAGCGTAATGTTTTGGTGCTAGATCTCCTGTTTTGGCTATCGAAGCACTGTTTAAGTGTTTGAGGGTGAAAATCTACTGATAATACAATTTTTTCCATAATGATCATTAAATGACTATGAAAAGTAGGAATTACCGTGTTTGTAGGTTGAATCTCTAGAGTATATTAGGTTGTTTCGAATGTTTTGTCAGTTTCAATTTCATTTGTTTCTGTAGCATCATTTCTCTATAAATATTCATTCTACTATGGAACCTTCAGGACCAGGCTGAAACGGTCGTTGTTTTTGCACCAGTCCACTATTTTCCTGACACATAAATCTGCTGACAGGCTGACAGCCACAATTATCATTTATTCTGAAGCGGTATCAAGTTTGTCGAGTCAGTTTTTTTTTTTGATTGAAGGTGACCAACTATTTGTTCAGTACTGGAGGTCTGGGACTAGATTTGAAAGCAATAGACATACAGAGGAACAGAGATCACGGACTTGCATCCTATAATGAATTGAGGAAGCTTTGTGGATTGAGGAGAGCAAAGGAGTTCAAGGATTTTTTGGATGTTATACCCAAAGAAGTGGGTATAATTATCATTTTGAAACAATAGTAGTATCTGAAAGACATTCCACAATCTAAAAAAATTAACAAAGCTAACGAAAAAGTTTGTTTCATGGAATGTCGATCACTAAACAAAGCTAAGTATGAACATTTGAGTTTTTCAATTTGTAGGCAAAGTTTATGAATTTATGAATTGGACTCTTCAGTGGTTTATATTAGGCATTAACTTTCAGGGATGGACTTCTCAGTTTGTTCTTTATTACACTGCAGGTCAGACAATTTCGCTTTCTGCTTCGATAAGTTTGTTGGAGATTGAAATGGACACCAATATGTCTTTGCACACTCATGACGCTGGAATTGCAAAGGCTGCTTCTCAAGAGTTTCGAACATTGTTCCATATCAGGAAACTGTACAATCCCCAGCAATTTTTGATCCTGTATAAAGCTCAGATCAAACCTTCCTTGAGGTATTGTTCACATGTATGGAGCTTCACCCCTAAGCATGCCTTGAAGCTGCTGGATTCAATCCAGAAAAGAGCTATTTGCTTGAATGGAGACAAGAACATCAAGTGCAACCTTGATAGCCTGGAACATCGAAAAAAGGCTGAAGATTTGTCCCTCTTTAATAGATATTTTCACTGCAGGTGTTCAAATGACTTGACACATTTGTTTCCACCAAGAGCGGTACATATCAGAAATACACGACGGACTGTTGCTGCTCATCGTTGTGAGGTTCAACTCAGTATACCTCAAACTTCACTGTAAATCATCCAGATAATTCCCATTTCTCGCATGCAGAACACTTTACTTTTTCTATGACCTATAACAGAAATATTCTGAAATAAAATTCAGTTGTGGAGGACAGTTCGAATGACAGTTTATTGAGAAATGTGGTCCCCAAGAAGTCGATACTTGTGTACGATGAGAATAAACGAGGTCTTACCTCTCAATGTGCGATTTCCAGCATGTGATGATTATATCATGGATATAAAAATATAAAATACCTTCAAACAATATCACTTTATAATATTTCAAATGTTTTTATATCCAACTTCACTTCCCCTTCCTTTTGATTCGTCATGATGAAACTATTCATTATGAATATCTAATCAGTGTATTTTTGACAAGCAAAAATCTTAGATTTTCTTTTTTTCAATTCAACATCTCCTTCCACCCAAACTAACC